TCGCCGGCCAATGCAATTAAAGTCCTCCGGAATGACTACCCAACAGAAGCCACAACCAATACGAACTGTCGCCAGCACAACCCAATTTGCTGGACTGATATTTCGTGCACACATCATGAGGGTTGGGTCTCCCTTGTGGTTGTGGGTTCGAAACCCACCGAGTTCTTCACAGTCGAGTCAAAACAAATTATTCAAAATCTACCAAAACACCCATTAATTGCGTAAGCCTGGTTGTTATCGGGCGGATTCTAGAAGGACTGCTTAGGAAAGCCTACTTCGGCAGTCAGCTTACTGTATCAGACCTGGTAGATTTCATACATTTTAGTACACTTGGCAAATAACTCGACCCTAGTTTGATTAAACTCACAGCTCCCGGTGGGACCTCGCAGCTCAGGTGGCTGTAACGTTAGCTGTACTAAAGCCTTCCTTTTGCTGTTGTGGGTTCGAGTCTCACCGAGTTTGCCGAGCTTTTCACAGTCGGATCGAAATGAATTATTCAAAATCTGCCAAAATACCTAATAAAGATCGTATTCTCTGTAAGCAACTTCTATTTCACCGAAAAAAAGTTGACAGTTTCTCTCACAGACGTGCTAGAGTTGGAATGGGCCACGACTATCGCCATCCCATCATATAAAGCAGTGCGCATATGGTCCCACGGCAGCCACGTGTTATAGATACTGAACTCCCTATGCCACCATCTGCGAATGCCTGTGATGATGGATTCGAGTGAGAATCCGAAACGTTAGGTCAATAAATTTCTAGTTTCAGTGATCGCATCTTAGTCTTCTGATTAAGCACTCTCCCTGACCGAGCCATTTCCCAACCTTTGTATCTCTTGATTTTCCCATAAATTAGTCAGATAATCAGCTAAACACCGCCTTCCGATACCTTGGCGACACCCATTGCCTGATCCTTCCCGGTGCCTTCACACAGCATCATCTTTAAGTCGAAGCAGATCCAACCTTCTATTCAGCTTTCTGTCACTCCATTACTGATCTGACGACTTCCTGCATTTCTCTATCTCCTGCTTCTCTTCTGCAGCATCCTAGTTTGTAATATCGGCGTGCCCAAATGCACGAACAGTTCGATCTCCCTCTTCACGGCAGCTCACGTCGTGGGCAGAGTCTATCCACTGGGACCTTTAGGCTCGATCCCAAATAGAAAGGAGACGTTCGACGCTGTATTCTGCACAGAATGGATAGACAATAGCCTGAAATAAGTTGAAAACCTGCTGAGGGCGCATGCCCAGCGCCGGGAGAGCAGGCGTTCAAGTGCAACCTGGGCAGGCGTCAGAGCGCTTTGAGTGAGGGCATGCCTGCGTCGGCCTTGAAGTTGATCAACCAGTTTGGATACTTATGATTTACCGAGAAGCAGACTGCCACCAATACTCCAGAGCGTCGCAACGTTGCGGCAGACGCCTGCATTAGGGTTACTACACCCTCTTTTCCCTTTCCATAATCCACAGATGAGGTAATGAATTTGGGCGCGATGCCCACCCTGGGGAGGGGGAGGTTTCGTCTAAGTGTGCCACACGTACATAAAACATTAGTTAAGACCTCACGCAAACTTGCCACAAGTCCACCAAAGAATGCCCTAAACCAGTATCAGCTCATTCTGGGAGGAGCAGGTTGGAGTAGTCAATCCAACCTATGCTAGTACTCCTACACTTTTTTCAGCCTAGAGTCATGTTTCCCGCATGTGACACACAATTCTGACCTACCCCCAGACGTTTATTAATGAGGCCGACTGAAAAGTACAATCCTGACTTAGTTGTCATTGTTGAAGTACAGTGCCAGCGAACTGCGGACTTGCGTTCTGTGGGTCGAGGGCACACGTCCAGGCGTCAAAGCGCCTTGAGAGAGAACACAGCTGCGTCGGCCTTGAAGTTGGTGGCCAGTTTGGATAGCTATGCCTGACCGAGAAAGCAGGCGTCGTGAGTGGGGCAACTACATCCTCTCTTCCATTTTCCACGAATCGGTAACAAGGTAGCGAGGTTGGACACAATTCCCACCAGGGGGTGATGCGATTCGTCTACGTAAATCACACGCACATAAGACAGTAGTTAGGACTTCACACAATATTGCCACAGGTCTACCAACGCATGTCCTAAACTGGTGTTGATTCATCCTGAGGGGAGGGAAGAGAGTAACTATAAGACAATCCAACCCACTCTGGTTCTCCTAAACTTCCTTTTCACCGGCCTGGGCCATGTTCCCCCTCATGGGCGCAGAATTCTGCTCCACCGAGGACGTTACTTAAAGCGGCAGGCTGGATTGGACATTCCCGACCTAAGCAGAAAAATATTAGCCTTAAAAATACACTATATATATACATTACCGATAAAAGCGAGGAGACTGGGACGCACATTTCAGGCTTACAAGCTGTCGTCAGCCAGACATACCCAGCCTCGTGTTTTGTAGCCCCGGAGGTTCGATCCACGGCCCGTTGTTTAGAAATCCAACGTTCTAATCACTTAAAAAATACATTATGCATATACATTACCGACAAATGTGAGGAGATTGGCAAGCACATTTCCGGCTTGCTAGCCATCATCATCAGCCAGCCATACCCAGACCCCAGAGGTTCGATCCACGGCCTGTTGGTTAGAAGTCCAAAGTCCTACTCACTTAAACACGAGCCCATTTTCCCGTCGGTCGCAATCAGGTATGTACAAGATAGTGGAGGGGCGTGCACCGATCGCGATACTGGACTCACTCGTACCGCTTTTTGCCTGGGCGACTGTTGTCGGGACCCGAGACTGCTCGCAAATGCCGGACGAGTGTGTCCCCTATCGCGGTCGGTGGGAGTCCCTCTACCATTCCTGATTAGTTATCATGCTTAAAGTACAGTGCCAGCGAGCTGCGGACTTAGAATCGGTCGATCATGTCCAGGAGTATTTAAAGTCGCACTGGGGGGATTGTTACACGATCGTGCCTGATGGTAGGATGGAATACTGACGCCTCATTGTGTCTTTTGCTTCTCACTTCCAATTGCCAATGAAGGAAAATCTTTCAATAATTGACTGTTTGTAGCTTTTGGTGGCGCTTGTCGGTGTAGTCGTGTTGTCTCACAAACAGGACATTGACTGCGGACATTATTATGTGCGGTTTCGACAATTTGAATGGAAATATCCATTTTGCCAAAAATAAAGGTTGCACTTCGGACAGGTGACTGACTTGGGTGGAAAGTAGCTATCGTAGTTTTTAATGCTGACAAACGTTTCCCTATGCAAACAGTACTGTGAGAACCGCCGTTCCACCGGTCACGTCAGGAGACATATACCTTTTCCTGTGGTGGAGATCAGCTACGGCGGAGTATGAACCCACCATTTTGGTGAGACAGTGTGGACAAACAGGACCACTGGTGGGATGCTAGAAATGCAACTCATAATGTGGATCTGACCGCCGTGAAACAGGACACTTTGATCTACATATCGGAATAAGCCTTAACAAGGCCGAAATGGCTTAGTTGACACCATCAGATGTATGTTAGAACGCTATTGCAGTGAATCCACACGGAGGCATGCTGGCCCGTAGTTTGCGGGTCGGATACAGGAAGATGAACTCCCCTCCCCATATTACAGGTGGCCCTGAGCTAGATTCTAGAGAGGCACCTCTTTCGTGTGCTAACCTTAATCCTAACGTTGGCCCTCATAACCACAGCCCCAACCTCCGCAAGAATTTAGCGTCAGGCCACCTGCGATACTGGCCGTCCATATTTCCGTTGACTACCGGTTTGCATTAGTCAGCCAAAGTAGACCCCTACTTGCTGACGTTTGATGCGTGCGTCATGAGACAGACGGAGGCTCAAGGCATGTCCATGTCCCAGTCGGCCCAATTGCCCTGGATAGGTCGCTGTCGCAAGAAGGGACGCAGGTGGGGTGGTGCCGGTGATGAAATGACCTCACTAGCCAATAGAGGCGAATAGACGAGTCCCGGGAAGCAGTTGTGAAGAAGGAGACACAATCGCTGGGACAAGAGCTTTATTTGCCTGACGTTTCGGATTCCTGCTCGAACCCACCATCAGAGACAAAAGTAGGCACGGGTAGTCCAGACATAAGGGGCTGCAGTACTTATAGGATGCAGTCGCCATGCTAACGCATACCTATGAATATTCACGGCTCCCCTCCCCCCCTTCATCGGAGATCGTTGTACTTGGTTTGATGGCTGACAATTGCGTCGTTAATTGGCGGCCATCAAACGGTCTTCAAAGCCGATCGCTACTGCGCAGCTTCGTCAACCGGTGCATATGCAAACGGGGTGAAAAGACCAAACCTCAAGGACCCCAAATTTTGACGAGCGCTTCCGTATGTCAAGAACATTTCGGCCACCTTCTCGCACCACTTGGGGTTGGAGTTGCACACAGACCGGAGGCAACCAACAGACGTAAGCTAATGAGGCCAAGGACCCATTGCCACGGCAAGAAACGTCTAGAGTCGTTTATTGGACCTGGTGCAGTTGCGGACGAAGCAACTACGTCGGAGAAACCGGAAGACAGCTCCGAACACGGGTCATCCGCGGCTGTGGTTGCCCGACATTTATGCGGGGAGCGCGCAGACACTGCTTCCAAAGTCAAACATCCGTGTAACTATTCCGCCGCCGACCACTGCTGTCGATGGAATTGTGAGAAGCAATGACTCGGATGAGTACGATCAAGCAATATGCGCTGGAATCACGGACATCTGCGATGAATGCGGGGGCTACCAATCTTATGGTCGCGTGGTAACCTAACAACTTCGATACAGACAACAAAGGTCCACGTCCATCCCAATCAACATACCAGGCCCTCCTCGTGGTTTCCGACCCAAACCGAGGAGGTCCAGTATGTGACATGCAAAAGATGGCAAGTAAGACGAAAGTCAACTTTTTGAGGGAACAACTTTTTCATGTACAGAGGTTTTTACATCGGACGAGAAGAAACCAAGGGGAGGAAGAGTGGAAGGACATTCGGAGGAGACGGGGCGAAGAGGATTTCCAGGAGTCCAGTCGAAAGGAAGAAGTCTACTTGGTCACTTCATGCATTGCATGAGCAAGGTAACCGACATTCTTAGTAGTGATGCCGGCGACACTAATGCGCCCGTCTTTCGTGAGGTAGATTGAAAACTCCTTTGTTAGGCGTTCCACCTGTTTGACGGAGAATTCATACAGTGAGCACAGTTATATGGTATACTTGACAATGGGCAACATAGTGAACAGAAATTACACCCAAGACGTGACAATTTGCACACATGGAAAACAAACAAAGGCTGAGGTAATCACGCCTAGTTACGTAGTTCCGTAATATAACGAGGATCGTAACCGTTGTCCTGTTTCTTTATTGGAGAAAATAAGCCTACGTAGATAATGGGTTAGGTATTGGGAACATTGAGTTAGTTTAAGTCAGTACATGTCCTATTTTCGACCTGAGTGAGCCGCCTCGAAGATGGCGTGTTCTTCCCAGGTTCGTCCGAAAACTCGACAAGTTTCAAGAGTATTCAAGTAGGCGTAGACTGTGCAGATGCTGCAAAGTGTCAAACATTCGAAAACTACCTCGACCGGGCTCGAAAGAAAACCGCGCATGGCGATTTAAGATGACGCGCAGCCTGACACTGCGCCCGGACTCTACAATTCCAGTGCCGTAACGAACGCACTGGCAGGCAGCAAGCTTGTGCTGCGATCCACCCAAGACGCGAATGGTGTACCTATGGATGCTTGTGCAATACTAAGTGACCGACCACTACAACTGTAAAAAAAACGTCAACAAAATGGCAGCTTACCTGTTCTGGGCTCAAACCAGTGTAACAGAACATGCCAATTTGATCCGTGATGTGATTCCAGCTACGCTTCGATCCCTCTTCCTTCAACTTCTCCCTCAGCGCCGTGCGCATGCTAATGATGCGATTGGCCATTAGTTTTACATCAGCGAGCCTGTAATAGAAGTTTACATTGGTGGTCATATAGGCGCAATAAAACATTGCGCAGTCGAGATTTTACAACATCGGCACACGAACGTATACTTACCACTTATTGCGAAGCTCTTGGTCAGAAAGAATTTCAGCAGCGATGCGAGCACCATGTAAGGGCGGATTGCTGATCATGGGACGAATAAGAATCTTAATTTGAGACATGCAGCGAGCAGCCTCTTCTTTGGAATCGCAAATAAGAGTGAAGGCGCCAACACGCTCGCCATAGAGGCCCATGTTTTTGGCAAAGCTTTGGGCCAAAAGGACGGTCGGCACATGCAATTCCTCGACGAAATATCGCAAGGCTGCCGCATCCCGGTCCGGATCGCCGGAAGCGAATCCCTGATGAAAACGGAAAGATAATAGTCGGTTTAAAAATGCCCATCTAGGATCCGAAGTTAGACCTATGGGGGTGTGAGCTACCTGATAGGCCATGTCGAAGAAAGGAATAAGCTTCCTGGTCTTGATGATTTCTCCGATGCGTTTCCACTGTTCCATGGTGGGATCGACGCCCGTGGGGTTGTGCGCGCAGGCGTGGAGAAGGACACAGTGGCCCTCGGGGATTTTCGAAAGATCCTCGAAGCAGCCGGCTGAGTCGAAGCCACAGGTCGATGGGTCATAGTAACGATAGAAGTTCACATTCATTCCAGAATCCCTGCATTCGAAGTGTAAGACCAGAGATACATGAATACGATAACATCGAAAGCACTCAGGTAAAATGACAATGGAAGGGCATGAGAAAATCAGTCAGATGAAATCGAGGGGAACTCACTTGAAGACAGGAATGTGATTCGCCCAAGTTGGCTTGGGTAACCAAACCTCCTTGACCTTGGAGAATCGGCCCTAGATTTACGAAAGAACGAAATAAATATTTGCCTGAACCGACATCGCCTGCTTTATTGACAGTCACGATAAGAATGATTATTAATCAGTCGTCAAATTAGACAAATATTGGCCAACAGGACACCAGAATCTAGCTGAGGAAGTATGTTGGATGCCAGGAGTATAGTTTTACAGAAGCTGACAGGGTAAACACTGCTGGCGTCATGGGTAGTATTTTTGCGAATAATTCAATGGATTGGGAATTTCCGAAAATAATGACTGGTGAAAAGTATGTACGTTTTGCGGATGGATAATACTTTCCATGCGTGGTACGGCTAAGAAGTCGTTGTATGAGTAATTGGGATTTAAACCACTTGATAATACTTATCCTCATTCTGCATATTCTCAAGAGTTTTGTCTTGCCCGTACGTCCTATAGCAGTATTTTTCCCTTCAAAAGGAAACCAGAGGCCCGTTGTCTAGGCCTCACGGTAAATAAAATACCGTATTCCGTGATGTTAAGGGAGATGGGATTTGGTCCCCTCTCCCGTGATAACAAGGTATACATGCAACTATGCACATGCGTATGTACAAACATTAATTTACGAGGCCAAGCTGGTTCGGTTCCTATGAGAACAGTCTGAGAAAACAGCTATTAAAAACAAAGACGTACAAGGAAAGCCGCGCCGATCCTCAGAGATCCAGTACCAGAGAGGCACTGACTGGTGCAGTTCTGGAAGAGAGGACAATGGAGATATAGGAATTACGCAAAGAATTGTAAAGAATGAGTAAGCAGCCATTAGAACTTACTCTTTCTTCTTTCAGGGCCTTGGAGTTCGACCCCAGTGCAAACTCGATGGCGAGCCGAGCAAATTGGGCGTTACCAGTGATTGGCTGGTATTCCTTATCCAGATTCTTGTCTACGATGCGGCGCTCAGCTATTCGAACTGACGGCAGGACCCATGGCTTGCAGTCATCATCGCGGTACGCTCCAACGCCCAGATTCACCTTTTTGGGGTTGGTGTCACGTTTGAATGCCTCGGTAATGCCGAGGATGGCATCCGGTGGCCCCATTGGAACGTCCGCCCACATTGTATTAGGTTTTCAGAACTAGTTGAAAGAAGGCAATCATAAGCCAACAAAACTCAGGCAAGTTGTTTGAAACAACATAATAACCTGGAAGACAGAAAATAAACAAAGAAAATGCCGAGGGCAACAGCTGGAACGTGCGGAACACTCTCAGACCTTGTGAGGAAAGATTTCTAACTCCCAGATAAATATTTGTTTGCACGAATATTCCTGCAGAGATATCAGTTTTTTCATAGCACCACGTCCCATTATATGCAGAAGTATATTTAACAAACGCGGTTAAATACCTCATCATATCGAGGACAAACTAAAAGGCCAAGGCAATACGCACAGGAGTAAATTACCGCACCACAGAAACAGGCGATCAGGTGTAACGTGAACACCAAATTTATATAAGGCGCGTTCAAGGTCACATCGGAAGAAAGACTAGTAGGTCAATAAGCCAAACGGAAAAGTTCAGTTTGTTGAAAGAAATTAGAGTGAGCCCTTAAGTACCCCTGAAAGGCAAAAGTTGCTTTGTCCACCGTCCTTCAAAAGGATCTGGTGGTCAGTGGCGCATTGGTAGGCGTAATCTATAACCTTTGATATTCTGTTCAGATTGGCAAGGTTAAGAGATCCGGGTCGATTATTTGAAGAAGAAGGTTGGCTCACTGGAACAGGTTTATTAGGATGCTGACGTTTCGAAGAGCTTGGTCTTTCTCCATTGTCAAAGCGTAAAATGCACTTAATCCACCAGGAGTCCTAAGTGGCGTGTCACGTTAGTCGGCCTCGTACTGATCGATTTTTTTCTCTCCTCTTGCTGCCGCGGCCTACCGGGGGATGGTTGACGGGCGTTTTGTCTGCGTACGTTGTGAGTCACCACTCCGCTGGGGGGAGGTGACTGAACCAGTATCGGGTGGTCGGTCTGGCGGTTCTTTGACATTCTGTCGTGAAGCATTTGGGGCACACATTTGCCGGTGTTAAGATGTATGAACCAGCGTGCTGACTGGTAGCTAAGTCTGCCCAAATTATTTTGAGGTGTGTTTATCCGTCAAACCTGACGATTCTACAGAGCTCAGAATTACTATTAAACATAACGTCACTGCAAATTATGCCGTTGAAACAATCGTTGAAATATTTTCCATTGATTATTTTCCTGTAATGCTCCGAGGTCGCGCAAAAATTCTGTCCTCTTATTTGGACGGTCAGATAAATAGACTACATTTTACGCAGCATTTGCGCATCGAGGCCGCTCAAGAGCGTCTTCGTCCACTCATTGTAGCAAATTAACTGTAGTAGCTGCTGTTCCAAACATACTGCTATAAGTAATCGACATATCGATTTCTGCAGAGAAGGGAAGAAATTGTTTTACATCTCTGAGTTCTAGAATCATTGCCGGAGACAGATGTCAGCATCAGCTTCGTCTAATCCCTGAAAGCCTCGCGGAAGTTGAGGTGGCGGCAATGGGATATACAGGGGCTGAATGAGAGGCTGTGGCAGGGTTTTCGACGTCATAGTCCCCTATTGACCCCTCACGGTTACAAATGCGCAGCAGAACGCCTCCTTTCCGTCTTTAGCCGCCGTCTTTTAAATAAACGACTTTGTAATCCTCATTATAATGTCTTACGCATGGCGCATCGTAACCCGTCATCATCTTAGGTGACCCAAACGTACATAGACTTCGCAGTGCACCCGCTCATAATCCTCTCCATAACGGTATTGGAAAATAAACGCAATTAAATGAGAGGAGGTAGTTTATTGGTAACAAACAAAGTAGGAAAAATATAAGGAAATTATCTACAATCATAGTAGTCGTCAGTCGATTTACAGAAAAAACTTTCGTTGTCTGCGGCAGGTTGCTAAAGAAGAAAGAGCAGTAAATGTAGTGTTCTAACAATAAGTAGAAGAAAGGAACGTTAAAGCAGACTGTTGAGCAGGAATAGTAAGCAATAAATGGCGCGCGATTTGAAATACACTGTAAATATATGTGTTAACGCGTTAAAGGGGGGGGGGCAATAGTTCACTATCATAGTTTTCTCGCAGTAGAAGCCTGTCTTGAGTAAAGAGTAATCTCCCAGCCTAAAGCATCGTACTTCCTACCGTAGTATAAACCTGGCAAGCCGCAAAAGTAAAGAACAGGAACATTTTGTCTGAAAATGGTGATTTAATGGTCATCTGCATGGTTATCAAGGAAATATTGGAAGAAAACCTTAAACCGAGAAAATAATTATACCACTTAGATAATTATAAGTAACGATATTACGAAATGCAACTCTATTTACTTTTATCCCTTGAACTCTTCATAGGGCGTTTACCATATACCTTCTAATCTAATTTTAAATTGGCAGTGAACATGAGGCAACGTTAATGTACAGTTTAAAATTCCGACTTATGGTTTCCTCGGACGGAGATAATGTTAGGAGTTCTGCATCGATGGACTCTTTTGACATCTGAATGTATTGCTGAGGGAAAAATAAGTATGCTTGACGTACTTTCCCAGTGCTGTCCCGGCGTCTTGCCCTGTCACCGTACCGGTCTCTTGATCCATGTAATAAATTGATTGCACTAGCTAATCCAAGCAGTTACCAAGGGAGGTACTTTGCAATGAGCGTTCTTTAGTAGGACCACCCCAGCAGAACATGAGACACAAGGGTGGTCCTAACGGAGCACACAGAAGATGCCGCACGAACTCCTTCTCAGTGCGCCCCCACAGTAGTAGGTTGCTTAGCCTGTTAGACAGAAATAGTTAATTGATTTGCATTTATACGTTCCACCTCTTTTCCAAACTGTGGTTATGCATGTAGTTTAGCGATGAAGTCCTCATACGTCTCAGTGGCGCACAGACGCAAACGCACCAGAGATACTTTAGGGTGGACGAGTACCGAGGACTGCTGAAGGGCGCCAAAATCTTCGACAACAGTCGCCTTCACTTGGTCAATCTCATTTATCATCCCAATCATCTGCTGTGCAAATGAGTCCATTCTTCCGCTAAGTGAAGTTCAACTTGAAGGAGAAATGGTTTATCGCATAGCAGCTTATTCAGCTTGCGTAGACTTGGACGACTCCTGTTTGTCCACTGGCAGTCTGAAGTAAACATTAGATAGAATTGGCCTACTGGTGTGTGACCAATCCCGAAACCGGGAAATGTCTGCCGCCTGCTTCTGAAGGACGAGGTATGTGTTCGTCGGTTCCGGACCCAACTGAGCACGACGGAATTATTCTGCGCTCCAACTGGGACAATTTCGACTTGGATACCATCCCACAGTTACAGTCTCTGACATTGATACTGGAACCGTACGTACAGACTAGCTTTGTGCATTTTTGGAATATTTTTTCACGCATTGAAATTCGCCTGGAACCTGGATTAAGTGCAATTTGTTTATCAGCACGGTCCAACTGACAACGCAACTGGCTACGCAACCGATTCACGGTATACAGCCTAGAAAACCAATCGCTCAAAATCCTTCATGGTCTGCAGTTATTCAAGTCCCACGAGATCTGGAAAGGGCTAAGTCGCTTCTGATTAAATTCAACAAAATTTATCGGATTTTAAGTATTTTTTCGCTTATTGAGTTTTGAATACTCACTTTAATTCATCATATATAAGCGGACGTATTCGTTATAACATCGAAAGCGGAATTATACCTATTATATCACGTCAAAGTTTATGAATTCTCAGCAGGCTAACTGTAGTAGTACGGCCAGCGACGGCACTTCTTTGGAAGATAAGTCCGGTGAGTTGTCCTTCGCATCCAGACCCTGTGCTCGCTCAACCTTCGCCTCCAGCCAACGACCAGCAAAGCGGGCAAAAAGCGTAAATACCGCAAAAAGTGTGAGGTACGAAGACGAGCCTTGTGGTGGGTGCGCAGATATTCAAATCAAAGTAGAAAAACTGGAAAAGGAGCTTGCTGATTTAAGGACGCTCGTGCAACAGACCGTAGTCGGCCAGAACGTGTCCAGTGTTAGTATCCCAAAAACGAAGAGCAAAACGCAAAAAACGCGAAAAAATATCTCGGGGGTATCTTCAAACACGAGTAGCAACTCAACAGCCAAAATCGCAGACGCCGGTAACAGCAGGAGAATGAAAACGAAGCCGCCGACAAAGGGAGACTCGATTCCCACGCACGATGTCTTAAGCGATGTCGCAAAAAAATTACCTATCGCGGAATCCATGTCACCTAAGCCTCTTGCTGTAAGTGATGGGATTTCTGTTCTGCCTGGAGACGATATACCTGGGACATCCAGTCTACTGTTGCCCTCTTGTTCTGGCAACCACCCCGAGCGCACTACAGAGCACGTATCTGAATGCGAAGACATAAACCAGTGGGTAGAGGGGAGAGGGAAACGCCATGACAGGATTCTGAAGTCCCAGCCAGGCCTGATGGGTTGCTCGGGACAGTCGGTAGACAGTAAAAGTGTGCGTCCAAGCGATGACTCCGTAAATCGTCCTC